GGGCTACATCCTCGACAGCATCGTCGCCGACCACTTCGAACCTCAAGGGACCGGAAATAACCAAGTGTATAGCAACTGGGACGACGATGCCAAGGACGTGAGTCAGCACTTCCTGGACCTGTGCCAAAAGGATACGGCCGTGCGCGGCAAACTCCTAGGCGAAAACGCCACCGCCACCTTATTCAAGCTGTACGAGACGCTGGATGCGAACGCATCGGCATGCTCGGCTATCTTTTACGACACGCTCGAGAACAAGCCGTCCATAAGCCTCCGCCAGTTCTTTTTCAAGCTTCTCGGCCACTACGACCGTCGCAAGTACATCCCGACGTTTGCCGCCCGCCTAGAGCGCTGTAATGCCCAAGACAAGGACGTGATGACCGCGATTCTAACCGAAAATCACCCAGCAGAGCCTTCAAAGGTCTTGGACTCCGAAATCATCCAAGACACCATCGTGTTCTCCGAGGTGTGGCAAGTGCCCACGCCGTCAATGGAGGACATCAAGCAGCAGTTCCTCGCGTCGCCTATGGCCCTGAACGACCCGGACAAAGGTCGGGAGCTACTGCCTCTTCACGGGCTCCAACTCGTCCGAGTGCGCGCCGTGGGTCGATATGAACGTCCCCCCCCTGGACATATACCCCGGACAAGTACTTCAACAAAACCGCGGCCATTCCCATCGGGGTGTCTGTGCTCGGTCTCACGGGCAACTTGGACCCCCTGACCCCGTCAAAGCATGCCCGACGACACTTTAACAACATGAAAGGCGACAACAAGAAACTGGTTGAGTTCCCCGTGGCAGTGCATGGCGTCATTGGGAACACCCCCCTGTCGGAGAACCACACTGATCCCCACTGCGGCTTGCTTGTGGTCGCCGATTTCCTTCTCGCCAACGGCGCGCTGGACGCGATAAACTTGACCTGCATGGACAAGGTGCAGCCTCTCAATTTCGACATCCCGGACGCCTTGGCCCTCGAGCTGTTTGATCTGGACGGCGGCGCCATGCACGGCAAAATGCACACCCCCGCGCAAGGTGCCAAGGACTACAAGTCCAACTATAGAGTCGTCGGCCTCGGGCTCAATGCGCTCCTGAAACATCGTGAAGCCAAAGCGACGCGAGGCAAGTACGCAGTCTACGAAGACGCATGCACGGGCATCGCTTCTTGACGAGCCCGAAAGTCGCCACATTCTCAAGAGAAAGAAACCCCCGCGAGTGCAAGTGCATCGTTGTAAATGGGTATAATTGAGTTTGACGGTAAACCTTTGGGGAGTATGCATCAGGCCTCGGAAAAATACTATGGAATACTGTAGTAGAGAAGGAGATCAAAATGACACCGTACAAATATGCATACTGGCTGCCCTACTATATTTCCCTACTAGTATTTGATAACGATCCCCTACTAAGGTAATATTTTCCCTAAGGGTGACTTGGAACTCGCACGTCCCAAAATCGCTGCTTCACATGCAGGGACAGCAGCATCTCCACATGGACAGAATACAAACTTTGGCGATGGTCTGTAAGGATCATTTTGGCAGCGACGAACAAGCGTTTAACAAGTTCGACGGACGAAGCTGCAGCCATTCTTGTCGCCAGGTATCTGCATATCCCTCTACCGTAAGTATATTACTCCGGAGTACTTACCAGTATCTCTTACTTAGAGCATCTGCACCGGTACCAGCAGTTCTCAGATCCCAACAATTTTATTGGGCGATTTACTGGAATTCCAAAAAAGCCGTTCGCACCGGTGCAGATGCTCTTAGAGCATCTAGTAAATTGGCCAATCAGTAAATCTGTGTGCTGATTTACTGAAAATTTACTGAAATATTTTCGCACCGCACCATTATCCTTTAGTGCTTTGCTGACCAGCAAATATTCCAGTAAAAGTCACACAGATTTGATGGACTTGTACTGGATTTGCTGGAGTCAGTATCCGGTTACAGTGGCCGGATAGAGACGTCGGTGCTAAACACACGGAGCAGCGAAGCTTCAGGGTCGGTGATAGCATAGGTCGAGATGCAGTTGTGGAGGCCCTGGCATGGTATGTATGCCGCAGTCAATAGCTTATGACTTATGTGGTGATGACTCTTGCGGCGCAGGTAAGTTGCGGCCGATAGCGCATTCGCCTGCGGCCGGTTGCTTGTGTGCGCCGGTGCGAGCCCAGTCCGAGGCCGATCCTGCCGTGGTTGGCGGTCTCTGTCTTGCGCCGGTCGAAGTTGCATGGCTTGCTGCGTTGGTGAGAGTCGTGCGGCATTCGGTAGGTATGTCTTCGCGGCCGGTAGTCGTGTTGTTAATGTTGCAGGATCAAGTCATCGACTACAACTCGGTAGGCCCCGCGCCATTGACTGCTGCATTACTAAGGTCAATAGCGCGGGTATCGAGCTGACAGATGCCTATTATGCCTGTATATCACCGTACTCCGTTTACTAGTTCACGAGAAACTACAGTTGATGCCATTCCTGGTGATAAGGATAACTTTGTGCAGTGGAGGACTTCAGAAACCGGCGCAAACTATATTTTGAGTAGGTGCCGGCTCAAAATTATCCGTCGAAAATATGATTAATATTAACATGAGGCAAAGTGATGTCCACAGAAACTGGCGCAAATCTCTACTCTTTAATTGGCTCACAGGTTTGTGGTGGGGACCAGCCACTTTAACTTTGGCATGGGACCGAAAGGACGAGATATGGGATGGAGCTCCCGAGAAACGCTGAGCTTACTCGACTGCATCGAGAGACTGCTACCTCTTGGAGGTAACCACTGGGAGTTGGTACAGACTGACTACAAGGACACGGTTGTTCGCAGTCTCCTCTGCGTTGGGGTAGAGTTTTTGGGCGATCAAGTTGTTGTTGTTCGCAGTCTCTCTGCGTTGGGGTAGAGATTTTGGGCGATCAAGATGTTGTTCGCAGTCTCCTCTTCGTTGGGGTGAAGATTTCGGGCGATGTTCGCAGTCTCTCTGCGTTGGGGTAGAGATTTTGGGCGATCAAGATGTTGTTTTTGTCTGTGCACACATACTTTAATCAAGTCTAAGTAACCGTCCCAAATGCGTCAAAATAATCAATACATACTTTAATCAAGTTCAACGTAACTG